TTCTCTACTTGCTTGTAGAATTTTGTTCTTCTGTTGGGTTTCTGGAACCTTAACTATTATATGCCTAGGTGTAGATGTTTTTCATCATGGCTAGTTGGAATTCTATATGCCTAACTTATTTGTATGTAAAGTCCTTTTCCCCTGTTTGGGAGTTTTCTATCATTAATTCTGTGAACAGTTTTTTTTTTAATGTTGTTTGTGCTCTCCTGTGTTTCTTCATTGATTCTGATCAGACTTATGTTATTCTTCTTTACATCATCTAGCAGCTGCTGGATTGATTTCTCATGGTCCCTTACTATTTTTAAGAAGTTTTTGTTTTCTTGTTCACTAGTTGCTATCCTGTCTTCTATATCTGAAATTTTGTCTTCACATTGGCTCATTCTGCTGCATAAACTTTCAGTGGAGTTTTTAATCTCCTGGAAATCTGTTGGCATGTGTTTTATGGATTCCATTTGTTTTCTATGTTGGGATTCCATCGTGTTCCTCAGCTCTTCTATTTTTTTTTTTTGTCTGTGTCTGCTTTAAATTCATTGATCATGTCTTGCACTATTAGCACAATCACTATTGTTATCTAAGAAATTATTTCTGGTTTCATTTTTTTAGATCATCTTTCCTTGCCAGTTCATGTAGTCCAGGTGTTTGAGTGTCAGACTGTTCCATCTTGTTACCCTTTGGGGTTACCTTAGTTAATCTGGAAATCTGATTTTGAGACTTATTTACATGTCTTCTCATTTCAATAGATGCAGCCTGCTGCTCCTTTGCTGAGGCAACGTTTTGCTCACACAGTGGTCTTCAATTCTCAGCAAGCCATGGAGTGACATTTTCTCTGTTCCTTACCAGTTCAGAGTGATAGTCTTCTGGATCCCTGCATTGTCCTGTTGTTTGGGCAGGATTCTGGCTGGGGATTGCTTACATGTGGTATGGTATCCAGGTGTGCCTCTGGTTAGTACCTGCTCTCCTATGTAGCTGTTATCTGGGAGGGCCTTTGGCTGGGGGCTGAGCACCTTAGTTGCTGGTGTGTGGGCAGTCTTCTGGTTAGGTTTTGTGTACCCTTAAGTAATGGTATCAGGGTGGGCCTCTGTTTGTTGTCTGTTAGCCTATGCAGCTCTTTTCCTGAATGAAGGGTCTTTGGCTGGAGCTTGTGGATCCCAAGGCAGTGTTGGGGTGGGCAGTGCCCTGGCTGGCAGTGCCTGCAGCCACACTGCTGTGGTCCACACCCCCTCTCCTGCATTTTCTGCTGATTATTCAATGGAGTGTGTTTGCCTTAAGGCTGTGCTTACTCCCACAGCTCTTAGTATGTTCCCTTCTCTGGAACTTCCCTTTACTGCTCTCTTCTACTGGATTTATGGCCTGTGGTCTTATGAGGTACCTCCCTTGCTCCAGAGGCCCCCCACCGTCCATACAACCCAGGATGTGGCAACTGTCCAAGCCACGGCACATCCCTGATCATGTTGACAGATGAGGAAAACAAATTGACCACTGAGGTCTATGCTGGAAGTAGGTGATGAGGGGAGCCAAACAGTTCACTGGACTTAACGTTTGAAGCAATTTCAAACCCATCTCCCTCAGAAAACCACACCACCAGCCTGGCCTTTCACCAGAGGGTGAGACCACTCTTTCCCTTGTAACCTGAGGTTGCTTAAACTGTTTAAACTTCTCAAGGCATCTGCAACTTGCCCACCCAATCTCTGAGTCTATCTTATGGTGTTCTATCACTCATTCACTGTGGTAGGTGACCCCAGAGACCCTGAAGTGTAGTTATTCTGTGACTTCTGATTTCTGGAGTAGCTCAGTCTTAAATAATAGACCTCTTCCCAAATGGCTTCTGATTATATCACTTCCAAGTATGGTGGACATTGAATTTCTTCTCCACTTCTAGCCTACCATACAGGAGTCACTTAGACAGTAAAGCTTGTATTTGGGCTTTTCTTTGGTCCATTGTTTCTCCTAGGGGCTGTCAACCTTCACTGTGTTTACCTTCTATTTGTAGAAATGGACCCTCTCCTGAGAGCCAGGGTTAGAATTCTGGGCTGCTTTATTTCTCTGCGTTGTTTTCAGTTTCTCTGATTTCTCATTTTTTTCCTGTTGACTCTTTCTTGATTTCCAGAATGCTACTTATTTTTCTCTTACCATAGTTTTTGTTTTCTAGGTGTCTCAATTCAAGGTTCTAGAGAGAGTCTACATCCACAATTTCATTTTTTAAATATTCAAATCTATGATTTTATCATAAAAATCAAGAGTGTTATTTATACTGATGTCTTCCTGTTTAAAAATAGTATACTATATTGGTATAGTGTTTAAAAGTCCCAACCCATTTCCTCAAACCTCCCATCTGTGAATCTTGGTTATTCTTTGTACTTTGTTTTAGAAAAATTCAGTGACATGTATTATATCATCAAGAGTTATTTAGAATTAATTGTTTGTTTAGGGTATTTTGATTCTCACTTCAAGTTATTTCCTCACATATTGTTTTATCTCTATTAAATTGTCATTTGCTGAGGTTGACCTTTGTGCATTTTTGAGGAAATTAGATGGCATAATTTCTAAGACCCTCTTACTTAAGTATGTCTTTCTTTTATCAACTCAAGTGAGCAGAAGTTTGAACTCTTGCTTTACAAGTATTTTGTTTGCTCCCTCTCTTAAAACTGTGAACACTGAGAACACATGACTCTGGCAGGCTCTGACTTTTAATATTAAAAAGGAAAGATTTGAGTCTACACTGCCTTTTCTCCATTTATTGGCAACTCTTCTGTTTTTTCTGTTTAGTTATAACATTTTTCTTATATCCTTAAAATTAGAATGTTTCTTGTTCTCTTCAATAATTTTGGCAAATAGTGAGGACATTTAGGACATAGATTTAGATCTTTCATGGCCCATGAAAATTTCCTTCTGTTTATGCTTTTTTAAAAATTCTGTTCCTTGTTCATTATTTCACCAATTTTCTGTATTGAATCTCCACCTTTCTTTAGCATATGTGTCCTTCTTCCTCTGTTTTTTTTTTTTCCTACTCCAAATCACCCATGGCAAATTAGAATACCTCTGATATCTCTGTTCTGTACAATGAACTCTTAAAGGATCATTGAAAAACAATTGAAAACGTCCAGGTTGCCTCAGGGAGCATTTGCACCGGTGGGAGTTGAGGAACATTTTCACCTGCCCCACTCTTTTTTTTTGTTTCTTCAGCTTTAATTGAGTTTATTGGTACATTTTAGGGATGCAGTACAGTTACATTCATTGTTGGGATCTTGTACCTCTACATGACAAGTCTTGATTCTCATTTTTTCCCCTTACCCCTGCCCTCCCTTCACCTCCTCCTCCCCAACTACACTTTATTTTCATCTTTTCATTATCTCACATTTGTTCTTTTCCCTTATTACCCTTCCCCTACCCATCCCACCTTCCCTACACCTTTAGCTCCTTTCTTCCCATTTCTAAATGTCACCTGCCCCACTCTTATCAGTCACCAAGACACAAGGCTCCAGTGTGAATGAAAATAGCTACTTTTCATTAATGCAAAATCCCAAATTCTAAGTTTTGAAGATATTCAATCTATATGATTTTTATCATATTACTAAGGAGAAAAGTGAAAAACCTTAATAACTACAAAAATATACACATGATTAGAAAATTCAAGCCTTTTAATGAGACCAAAGAAACAAACAAAAAACTTCCCTCTTTACACATTCCCATCCCTGACACTGGCAGCCACTTCCAGAAAAGATAAATTGTTCAGTAACCATGCTATAGCCTATATATGCACATATATACATAATATAGACTGTATGTACACGCATGCACATATGCACACACATCTATTTTTAAAACATTTATCTAAAAGATCTCACTGGGTATGAATTACCCATACTTATTTTACTTATCTCCAGAGGAGACAGTTCTGTATCAGTTCCTGTCAGCCCCTTTCCTTTCAATGACTGCATTTTATTACATGGGTCAGATAGTGAATTTATGATATTTCCAGGCTAAACAGCCTCTGTCACAGATATTCAGCTCTTTCGTGTAGCAGGAAAGCAGCCATTATACAATAGATGGACAAGTGCGTGTGGCTATATCCCAGTAGAACTTTAATTATGGACACTAAATTCTGATTTTTTTTTTTTTGTAATTTTCACATGTCGTCAAAGAGCATCCTTTTCTCCCACCAATTTAAAAATTGCTGTTAGGCTGTATGAAAGCAGGCCAGATTTGGCTTGCAGGCCAGAGTTTGATAACCTTTGATTTAGTGGATAATAATTCCAATTAAGTGATAAACACTTCTTTTAGGTATTTTGTGCAATATCATATATTTTCAAGAAATCTTAGAAGCTAGCATGTTTGTATGTTAAATATGAAAAAAATATTAAAGCTTCTCACACATTGCAAAGAGTTTTCAAGATAACCTGAAATTAGGCTCTTAAACATTGCAACAATTTATTACCACTCCACAGTCACAGAGGAGAAGCTCAATAAAGATTTAGGGAATAAATTGGTAAAAAAAATCTGTATTATAAAAGAAATCACATTAGAAATGATGTCCACATGTTGGTATATTTATCACTAAATATTTTTATAAACCTTTGTAATCATGGTTTGCAACCAGTCATAGCACAGAACTTGAATTTTTATTGAGAGGCAACAGTAGGGTGTATCTTTAATGAAGAATTCAAATTTCTGCTGTTTATAAGATTTTGAAATGAGCTGGGCATGGTGTTGCAAGCCTGTAATCCCAGCACTCTGGGAGGCTGAGGCAGGAGTATCCCATAGTTAAGCCCATCCTGGGCAATTGAGTGACTTAGTGAAACTCCGTCTCAAAAATAAACCAATAAAAAAGGGCTGGGAATGTGGAGATGTAGTTCAATGGAAAGTCCCTGGGTCCAATCCCCAGTACCAAAAATAAAAAGCGTTAACCAGCAGCAGCCTGAGTTCCCTGGGATGAAGCTGCTGTTGTACCTGTGTTGGCTGTGTGTGCTGTATGTGACCCCCTCTCTGTCCTGACTCCCTAGGTTCATCCCAGAGCCCTGGTCAACCTGCAGCTCCACATGCGGCCAGGGCGTGCAGGTGCGCACTGTGAGGTGCCGCGTGCTCCTGGCCTTTGCGCGCACTGAGGCTGAACTACCTGAGGATGAGTGTGAGGGCCCCCAGCCACCCACCGAGCGGCCTTGCCTGCTTCAGGCCTGTCCTGGGAGCCCTGAACCCCGAGAGCCCAACAGCTCCATCCCCCAGCTGGACAGCACAGGGACCTATGCCTGGGAGTATGCCGGCTTTACCTCCTGCACAGCCACCTGCCTGGGAGGTAGGTGACTCTCACTCAGGATTGTGGTGTCCTGCACTGTGAGGATTTGGAGGCACTGTTAAGCAGGCACATCAGGCATGCAAGTCTGCAGGAGGTGAAATTATCCAATAATTGAAAACCATGCCTTTTCTTTATGTTTTGTAGTTATTTTGAAAAGTAGGTAAAGGATAGTGGGATTATATCCTGACCCTCCTCCCCCAAAAGCTCCATTGGCTTGAGGATCTGTATGAGGTGGGAAGAGGTCATTGGTTAGTGTGAAATAGATGGGC